AAATGATTAATGAATAAATTAATTTAAGAGAGAGTGGAATATAAAACTGACAGTCTCTGTCCCATGTATTTTGAGAGTCACACTTCTACACCTGTCCTCCGGAGGGAGCCGCTCGGACCCGCCCGGTCAGCTGCAGCGGGCGAGCGCACGCCGCCGGTGCCCTTTAGGCGCCAAAGGCGGGGGTCGCAGGGCCGGCCGGGTCGACGAGACCAGTCGGACTCGCCTTCCGGTGCGGACCCAAGCCCTCGGGCCCCCGCGGCGGCCACCGCGACCGAATCGCCCCCCTGCGTCACTCAGTAGAGACGGGGACGCAGACCGAGGTAGAGCCCCCAGCCCCAAATTGGACCGGGGGCCGCCGGAGTCTACCCCCGGCTCCTGGGTGACGTATGCGGGGGTCCGCCTGCGACTGGGGGAGCGAGCCACCCTGCAGGGGGAGCGGATCACCAGAGACGCCGACACCATGATGGACCCGCACCTCTGTGAGCATCACCACCGGCCACTGGAGTCCGCCCAACCCCCCCCCCCCAGAACAGCATGGAAACGCCGGGGGCACCACAGCGACCGGAGTCTCCTCCACACTGGACCCGTGGATCCCCCCCCCTGGCAGCGGGGAACCTACCAGTGGAACCCACCAGACTTGTACTTGTTGCTTTGTTTTTCCCCTGCCTTGTAAGCTGCGCAGGGGCGACCGGGATGGCCTTGGGCTGACCCGCCGGGTTGCGTCGCCTCATTCGGGGACAAACAAGAGTCCTCGAAGGGGGCGGCGTAGCGCCGGCAGGTCCGACCGGTGAGGGCACCAGCTCGGACCCGCATGGAGCTAGCTGGCTGCCCCCGCTGGTACGCGAACGGCCTGCGGTTTTCCCACCTCGCGCCTGCGCAGTCCCCGCCTAAACACCTCGTGTCTGGAGCTTGTGTGCGTAACAGCTTTTTTTGGACGTCGGGAGAATAAGCAGAGTATTCTTGCTCGGAACGGCGATTTGTGTTTAACAAGAGTGATTCTTGACAGCGTCAGAGCCCATAGGTAGGGCACGCTACAGTACAGTACATATACATGTATGGCTTGTGCACACATGTACATACATGTTTCTTCATACTGTCTCAAGGGTGTTTATGAAAGTGCCTGGTCTGTACATGCACACAGGTACCCATACCAGTAGTGTACAGTATAAAGATTCTCAAAAACTATATCGATCCTTCAAAAGGAATTTGATGCTTCATTGTATTTGGAGGTTCGTGTGCATTCAAAACCGTACTTATAAAGTTGTGTTTTAAAAAGTACCATAACACCTGTACACACATACATTCACGTCCCACATTTGATTCTAACTGCATGTTTTGAATATGATTGGTATTAAAGTCGGAATAAATATTCGATTCGCTATGAACATTTCATGCACTTTCAAAATTGTAATTTTTACATCACTGTGATGAACACACATGGAGGCACATGTGCGGTGCATACACGTGTGCATCTACATGTATGATGTTCATGCTGAGCATGTATCATGCATACAGAGCATGTTTTCGTGTATTCAGCATCCTACTAGTATATTTAAACTCCATTTGGGATGCACAAGATGAGAGACAATGACATTTCTGGTTTTGAGTATTTTCAAAATTTCCCTCCGATCTCTAAACTGAACAGATTTTCATTGACTTCTTCACTGTCATTTATATTCCTCCTTTAGTTTACAATGTATGGTACGTTGAATGCCATGTTGTATGAACATGAAATATACAGTGTATGAATAAAAACGAGTTTTTGCCTTTCTCAGTAAAATTTACAATCTTTGTCTCCATAGAATAAAAGAATGATAACGAACTATACAAAAGCAATCAAATGAAGCCTAAAATCTTTCCAAGAAATATTAATTTATTTACTTGAGTTGAGACAACTTTTCAAGACTCAACAAACAATGTGTCGTAAATTTGCGGTTCTAAATGGAAAAGGAACTAACACGAAGATCAGAATGTCAGGTGATACTTACGCAATGTGTGTCCCACTACTTTGGCATAGTCAGTATTTTCACCGATGTCATTCTTGGCGTACACCCTGATCTCATACTCTGTGTAGTCCTCCAGACCCGTCACTGTGTATGTCGTCTTCCCT